TCGATAAGCCGCAATCAGCAAAGATAGCACGGGATGACAACAACGTCCAGCTCATGATTTTTCGACCGCGGGGTTCATCTCGATTTGCTTCAAAATATGCGTGGCTGCCTGTCAGGCATAAAACGAAGGCATGTGCCGGAGGGAATACATGGGGATGGCGATAGCCGTCGGAGACCAGATTCGGAACGCCGGAGCGATCTCGGAGACAGGCCACCATGCCAGGGAGATTCTAACCCAGACACACTCTTTTCAGAGAGAAGCATAGTCTAAGCTACGTTAGGTCCCTCGCAAACGCCTCGTCGTTGAAATCCTAAATTGACTACCTACTCATGTAGATGTCATTTCAGGATCCTTGTTTCAACCTTTGAGCGGAGTTATGGAACTTCAGAAGTGCTGCTTCCTTTTTAATCGTCGACTATTAGAAAATTTAGGAAGACACTAACTCAACAGCGGTAATTTGACTTAACCTACCTCTCAGTTGCCAGTTCCACCTCGTAGAAGAAGTTGCCATTCTAGCGACAGGGAAAAGCGGGACTTTTCGCTCTAACTACAATGTTATCCTATCAGCTCCTTCTACAAGACGATTCAAAGACAACACCCGCTCGTCGCCTAGCTTACACCTTCAGTGATCTTTCAAGACTAATTTGGTCCCTGAAGGTCGATTTATCGACACATGGTCTCGTATTGGTTCTCCGTCCAAAAAGCCCTTTGTGATAAATCATGACCAGACGTTCTACCAAGCGTTCATAAGGTTCCAAACTTCACCCCGAACAAGTCTGCACTGCTCAATGATGACATGCCCGGAAACCGCGCCGACCTCCGAACACGTGCTCAACTTTCGATGCGGCTTGCGGCGATCGACGACCCTCGGTGCCTGGGAAGCCCAGATCTGATGTAAAATGCATAATTATGGGTGCGACACAACTCTACAGACAACTCGCGGGTGTAGTAACCGATGACCCAAAGATACGCCCTTTATGCAGTCATGTCAGGCGACTGTGTGCATGCAGAATTGGGCAGCCAGGCGTCTGTAGTCCGCCATCGGGTAAGCATAAGCCCCATTGGTTCGAGGGTCCGGCTTACCTCGGTGTAAGGCTCTAGATCACGCCCAACTGCAGGCCGCAATAACTATAAATCCCCATAAGCACAGCGTCCGACTCGGCCCGGTGTTGTGCCATCTATCACTTCCGGTCATATGACGATTTCTATTTAGGCTGGAATGACTCGGAATGGCTGGTGCGAATGAAACATGATTCCAACACACCAGCCATGCACGATCAGGCAGGCAGTGCCTGCGATGCCTACCCCAATGTGCAACTTCCTGTTCGCGTTTTGCTAGCCACAACCACATGAGAAGTCTGGAATTGTTGAGATCAATACAGGGTCTGAGACAAACTAGCGTGATTTGCCAATGGCAGCGTCGATCTGATCTAGCAAGGCAGTGTTGATTGCTGCCCATGGCTCGGGCATGGCTGCCTTACCGTTCAATAACGCGACCCTCCGTGGCCAACGAAGGGGTCTCATGCATGTCAATTCCAAAGCGACATTTTCCAACTCTTCGGCCCCCAAACAAGGCATAATGACGCGGGCAGTGGTAGCGTGGTCAGTATTTAATGACTTGATCCCCGCGATCCGCTGCATTTGTGAGCGCTTAAAAGAACCTTAGTCTTCCTCGTGCCATTCAATTGAACGACCTCAATCTCTGACCGGATCAGACTTCAGTGCCTGCCACTGGCTTTGAGCAAATATGGCGCCACGTCACAGCCATCATCGAAAGCATGCAATTAAAAAGGCTCAAGAAGATACTCCTTCAAAGCGTCCTCCGCCGCCGGCAAATCCCAAACCTGCCGCACCAGCAGCAACGCCGTACGTTGCCCCAGTTGCGGGCCCGTGGTCTGCCTGGACTCTTGATAGTGAAGATAGGGGGTTTTACTTCAGAAATCGCGTAACAGCAACAGGTGTGTCTCATTTACATGCCGTGTTTATGGCACCAGCTAACAGAGGACTTTCAGGTCAAATGCAGTGGGAATACGCTACATCTACACCTTTGCAAACATACGCCTATCCACAATTGACGGCAGAGCCGCCATCCTTCTATTACCGCCCCGTCGTAAATTCTCCCATGCAACCTGCGTACGACTACACGCCTCGATATCCAGTCAATGTAGCCGCGAATGATGTCCAGTCTAGCGACGCTTCCATGTCCGACACTACATCTGACTCTGAAGACTTTGACGTCGCTGCTGCTAAGCTGGCAGGATTCTCAATTCCGGCAATCATCGATGTGGATTCGAAGAAGATTGAGATGCGACTTCCAAATCTTCGATCTGGAGACACTACCTTTGTCTGGGATCGAAAGCATGGGCACTCGTCCAAGACAAAGATCTACTCAGATACAGACTCGAGGGTCGAGGAGTGGCTGAGGAATGAGTTCAGTGTTTAATGATGGCAGTGTATCGCGAGTTGGGATGCTCCTCCATCCACTTAACGTTTCTTTGCTTAAATAGTATATCCAGCTTTCAGCGCATGTATACACGTTCAAATGTTTGGTAGATTAAGTCAAACTCATTGCCTCTCGAGAACGCTCTGGTTACATTGCCTGGCAAAGGTCAAATAGAATTTTGATTATTTTCATCAGACTATAAGAAAATGATGACACTCTGGAGACTCCCTCGGTCGCTGTCTGCATTACATTTGATTTTCGTCCAGATCGAATGTCCATGAACTGCCGTTATCCATCGTCCCTTTTCTGCTATTCAGTATTACGCGCTGGTAGTATCTGTTGTGGAAGGCTTTTCTCGTTGCGGCAGAGCTGTGTCTCCTAGGTCAGCCTTGGATCCTTCGGCATCCTTGGGTCGTTCGGTGTCTTTGGATCCTTCGATGTCCGTGGACTTTTCGCTTTCCTTCAGCTGTCCAATATCCTTGAGTCCTTCAGCGTCCTTGGGTTGTTCGATATCCTTTGGTTCTTCACTATGCTTCGGTTCTTCGTTATCCTTGGGCTGTTCAACGTCCGTGGATTGCCCGACGCCCTTTGGCTTCTTCCTGCCTTTTGGTTTCTCGCTACCCTTCGGCTTTTCGCTGCCCTTAGACTGTTGAGTGTCATTTGGTTGTTGGCTGTCCTTTGGCTGTTCGCTGTCTTTTGGCTGTTCGCTGCTCTTAGATGGTTCGCCATTCTTTAGCTGTCCACTCTCCTCGGCCGTCCTCTCTTCATCCTTCTCGTCTCCGGATTCTCCCTCACCCCAACCAGGTATCAGCTCGTTATCAGCTTCTCCTTCCTCTTCAGGGTCCCAACCCTTCAGAACCCGTCTTGCCGCATCTCTCCCGACGACGGGTAGCCTTTGCACTCCATTCTTGCGCGCTTCTTCGGGTACTAGGTTCGGATCTAACAAGCCAACTTGCACCAGAACACTAGCCTGGTCCCAATACACATGCTCGTGGTAAAGCTTGCCTCCCCTCAATCCCACTATGCTGACCACGAGGACCTCTACCCTTTTGTTCGTAGCAGGAACACCGGGTAAGATCCAAGGCATCTCCTCGGTGTGCTTGAAGCGGACATGAACCTCGTCGACAACTCGGTCAGCCCCAATAGTGCGGGAAATCAAGGTCAGTCTCATCGACGGGGGGTTGCTGAAAAACTGGGAGTAGAAACGCTCGAGCTCTGATGACCCAATTCCTCCCGTCAAAGTTGGGATATGAGTGACGTGCGGGCTCTTATGCGTCGTGTACGATGAAAGCGTTTGGTTCAGGTTTCGGGTGAAGAATTTACCTGCACAAGTCAGCTTGGCCCATTGCCTCCGTCTCTCTTAGATACTTACCCTGTACGTTCTCCTCCAACACAAGCTCCAAATCCGCGTAGGTGTTGAAAGCTTTTCTTGCCGCGGTCAAGCTCCGGCTCCACGCCAGCTCGGCACAGATTTTGTCAAAGTCGTCAAGGTCATGCTCGGCGAAACCAGGCGCGGCGTCGTAAGTGTAGGTTGGGTAAGCAAGTTTCAAGGTTCCTCCTGTGCCAATGCCGCTCTCCACTTTCTTCCGCGTTGTTCGCCTCTTCCCTTGAATCCCAACCATCTGGGATCGCTTCGTGATGCCAATCTCCTCATCTGCGGCAAGATGAACGAGAGCCGAGATGCTGCTGGGGAAATGCCCTTGGGGATCTGGGATAGCCGTCGGATAGTACGCGATCAGCAGCCCGAGTTTGAACTCCGGGTTGTTGTCCAGAACGTGGTAATGCTCCAGGCACACAGCAGCGGCATCACCGTAAGCTGCTCGTTATTAGCATAATTATCTCATAACATGCGCCATACTAGTTCACTGACCGACGATGCCAAATGTCTGGCATGGATCCATCTTCTTTTTACTCAAAGATCGTAGCTTGCCCCGATACTTCTTCGGGTCCCCCATGGGCAGATATTCGACTTCGAAGCCCTCATCGCGCCATTCAGCTAAGGTCAACTCATCGAACTCGTCACTCTCTGCAGTTATGTATAGCTTTGGCCGCGAGCGAGGAAAGCCCGATGATAGAAAGTTGACATCTCTGTAATTAGAACGGGTCCAATTATCTGAGACGATGCGCGCGTTGCGACCTTCTGATTCCGGCACCGCCTTCTTGACCAGATCCGGGATGTCAATGTTCATGATGAATATGTCGTTACTGGCTTGGATTTGAAAACAAGTGAAATCAGTAAATTACGCACGATCATTTTCCTGAGGGGGATTTCCATTTCCTGTTAAGTACACGAGACGAGTGCTGGGTTCGCGTGATGATGACGTCACATTTCGAATGTGCTTGGTCTCTCCATGTATGATATCAGCGGGGTCACGCACAACACTGCGTGGAGTGATTTCAGGCTGCGCGATACCAAGTTTACTAACACTGTGGTGCTTGATTGAACCTTCTGTTGTCTTCTAGTTCGCTCATTCTAGAGTATTCCGTACTGCGAAAAGCAACCTTAACAGCTGCGCATCTTGTAGCAAATGCCATTCTCTCGCCTGTAACAATCTAATCAGCCGATCCTAGCCGGCCGCCACGCGTCGATATTTCCCCCACGAGAATCGATCTCTTCCTGGAGCTCGTCACTTCTATCCACTCCTGGGCCACCCCCGGCCTCGGTAATCAGAGGTGTCAGGTCGTTTGATGCTAGTTCCAGGGGCGTGGTACCAAATTTCGATATGTTTCGAGCATCGGCACCCCAAGAGAGGAGCAATCTTACCGCCTCTCGATGTCCATTTTCAACGGCTTCCATCAAAGGAGTCCACAAGTCCCACGTCTTTGCATCGAGCTCGCTGCCTGCGGCACGTAGCAATTTCAGAGTCTTCGTGGATCCGTCGCGTGCAGCTCGGTAAAACGGTGTTGTGCCCGAATCACTGCGAGCGTAAGGCGATGCCCCGTGTTCTAATAGTAATTCGACCATTTCTTCACTTCCATGTTCTGCAGCCACGTGTAGAGGCGTCAGCTGCCTCATCTTGTCGGGAACGTCAACACCTTCTCCTCGGCTCAGGAGGTGGCGTGCGAGCTTGACGTTGTTCACGATTGCTGCGACAAGCAGACAGGTGCTTCCGTCGGGAAAGTGTTCATTGAGGTCATCCAATGTGGGAAGTAGTGCTTCAATCAAGACGTGGAGATCGTTTGCGATCGCGTAAATGATGGGGGCAGCGCTGTGGCGGGCGGCAGCCAGGCCCGGGCTTGTTCTCAAAACAGCCTGCCATAGTTGGTATCTCTTTGGGCTTTCAGCAGGGTTCAGAAACCAGTACAAGTGCCGCTGAAACCTGTGAATATCGCTTATGCCAGACGTAAGGCTACAAAGCCGCATGTGCGTTGCCCAATTCATGGCCGCGTAGTACAGAAACGAGTACTTGCTGAGAAAGGCCTTGAAGTCTCTAGGATCTTCAGGCACATCGCGATCGAAATCGGAGAAGGCAAGATACTGAAGACATCTTTCCGCTGTGAACGCATGTGCATCAACTTCACTGAAGTAAAATATGGATGCCGATGTGGCCAGGATGTCAGAGCCCGTAAGGAATTCCTTGACCGTTGCATGATGTATTTGTACGATTGTTGCGGCATCCGAACGATATCGTGACGTCTGATAATAGGATACCAGCTGGACAAGTGGCGCAACAACGTCGTAAGGGTCTGTGACGATCGCGTCGAAGTCGAGGGCGGTGTCGTTTTGGTCAATAGACGTAACCTCCGCTAAGGTTTTCCCTGACAGCGGCATCAAGCCAACAGCAAGCCACTGCAAAACCTGCTTCATCTCGGACGTGCGCTGTGGGTATTTTTGGAGAGCAGAAACAAGTATTCGCTCATATGTAGCATTGAGGCCATTTGGGAGACTTTGTAGAGTCTGTCGTAGCTCTCGGTCAGTTCTTGTCGCTGTAATGTAGTCCAGCTGGAGGTTGGCTTGGAGGAATCTATAAAGGTAAGTTGTCAAATTCATGCTTGATGGGAAGGAGAACTATGGCATACTTACGTTCCAGCTGTGCGAAGGATATGATCTCGGATAGTTGACACCAACGCTGGGTCCCCGACACGAATTCTTTTTGATCTCAATCTTTCCTGCAGCTCGGCCCAGACAAAGTGCGAAAGGTCCGCGTGGAGTCGGTTTCCTTGCTGCGAGTCTAGTTTCCATAATAGACACTTACACTCGTTTGCAAGTTGAGTCCGGATATATGCGTCCTCTCTGCTCGTTAGAAGGACCTTCCTACCTCTGCCTGCTTGCGGGCCAGGGGCTGTCGCTCGATTGCTGCTGATGGTTGGTTCCGCCTGTATCCTCATGAATCGACTCAAAACTGCCACGAAGGCTTCTTTTTCATTCAGTTCCATCCCTCCGACCTCATCAAGAGCATCTACGACAATGAAAACCTGATTGTACTCATTCATAAATGATTCAACGAGAGTTATGTACTCGCCTATCGTGAGCGAAAAGCCGTTCTTGTCCTTCTGTCTTTTTGAGGCGATGTCAAAACACCTCTGCGATCGTGATATAAATTGAGCGGCAATACTCATCAGGAAGTGAAGAGCAGCCTTTTCGCTTTCTTCGAAACTGCAAAAGAAGTATACCATGATTGAACCAGGCAAATGCACTCTGGACGAGAGAGCTTCAACCGCCGTGGCACTGTTGTCTGTGTTAGCAACGCAGCAGGCGGAAACCTTCATGTCTTACCATAAGACGGATTTTCCGGCGCCCGCTGATTGATATGTTATTATTTCCTCTCAGATGTAGCTTAGGCTGTAGCGAAGAGCTTACGAAGTCCGGTGATCCATAATAATTCCCCTGACTGGTCATTCACCCAGTTTCCGAATGCCTCGGATTCTATGAGCCAAAGCCCACTTCCAGGGTGCCGTCTACTCAGAAGGTCGTGCAATGCATGCTGAGTTTGCAAATGTGCCACCGGGCAAACCCAAGAAAACACTCTCTGCCAGTCTGCCTGGTTAACTGTTTCCTCGATTCTGTCGACGGCCAGTCTGAGAAGTTCAAGATTAGTCGCATCGCCGCTATGCTACAAGTAATTACCATGTCTTACGCGGTATTAGTCTCCAGAGCAGTGGAAAGGGTTTCCTTCATACGCCGGAGACGATCCAAAGACTCTTGTACTTCCTTCTACGCACGTAGAGACCATGCTAATCTCTTGGCGATATTCCTGACTCTTTCGCCGTCCTCTCTTCTCAAGGAAGTCAGGGTCTGGTTTATCGAATTTGGCAAGTGATTGCATTCGTCAAAAACTCCGATATCTTTCAAACGAAGCAGAGCATTCTCGTGAACCGAGGCTGGGTTGGCTGGATGGCTCAGATCTCGCAGTCGACTCAAAAGACAATCCAAGGCTGCGGTTTCCGTGAGGAGCTGGCGGATTTCTGTCGGTGCGCCAATGGTCTTATTGAGAAACGCGTAGCCTTCTGACAAGATCTTAATAGTCAGTTCTGTGAGCTGGATGGTAGCTGCAGCAATTCCAAGTATCTCAGCCATGGCAGTATCAGGAACCAAGCTTCGTGTTGAAGAATTGGTACGAATGCCACATGTCGACAATCACGATGAGATCAGAAGAAGGATGAGATTTGGCGGGGAATGCGAAGATCATGGCTTTAGTCCGGGCCGTCATTGGCACGCCTGCATAGGCATAGATAACCTAACCAATGGCGAATCTGCTCACATGAATTTTCTGCACATTTGTGGCCCAGGTTGCACCACCTTAGGGCAGCCTGATGCCTCACCAGAAACCGAGCAACAGAGAAATATTTGACCGTTCTGTATGTCACACCATACACGTTATCGCTAACTACAGGCGAGATCCAGCCTGATCACATTCTAGACCCACAATATCCGTTAGTCCAACAGCCACATGCAAGCCATGCCATCTTTCCCACCCGTTGAAATTGAAGACCACGTGAGAGAGCAGTGGCTGAAGTTCACCCGAGATCCTAAATAAGTTAGTGCAGTAGTGTACTTGATAGGTCGACAATGTGCTTACACTCCGTTGCGTTGACAGCGTCCGCCCCCCTTTTTTTTCCCCGCTTATGCAAAAACATGAAAAAAAGCCAATTTTACGCTGTGACGCGCATTTCTCTGCATCGCACGCAAAACGCGTCAAAGTCATCACCAACACCTCAATTGCCGTCAATCACTATAGTCCCAGTAGTATTCAAACGTATAACTACACGATAGAGACATAAGGTGTGTATTTCATGCTTCCGTAGCAGTCAATCTACCCATCGAGGCATTGCCAACCCAGCTAGTCACCTCATCCCCATACCATTCGACCAACAAAAGGTCTATTTTCGTCATGAGAGATCAAGATGACATTTGCTGAGGAACAGAAGAAGAGACCTGCTGTATGACTTTATATATCTACTCAGCATACGGTTTGTATGGCTCTGAGTAATATATAAGCATACCAAGGGGCTTGATACGGTTCTTCAGAGCAAATGCTTTGGCAGTCAACAGGATTAATGACTCTCCTGATAGCTCAGCTTGTTCACGATATTGAGCAAGAGTCTACTGCTGTATAGATTGTGCCCTGTTACTTACAGTTTGCCGCTGGTCAGTACATGTCCGTGGTTTATTATATCAGATACATCGAGAAAGACGCCGGGCGACGACGACGATACAATGGCGCCCAGAATATCGAATCTACAGCTATCGACGATCGCGATGATACTGCCATTCGAAGACCAAAAGACCCACGAGCTGGCAAGTATCGTTGGCTGTACCGAACGAACGATTCGACGACATAGATCACGACGTAATATCACTGGCGAAGTGCAGAGATATAAGAGGTGCCGCCAGAGTCGACAAAAGATGGAAATATGGCATCGTACAGAGCTTCTTGAACTACTGCAGTACCGCAGCGATCTATCTCTTGAAGAGATGCAAGATTTCCTATTTGAAGCCTTCGAGATCCAGATCAGTCGTTCTGCAATCAGTCGACAGTTAAACTCAGCTGGCTGGACGAACAAGAAGTCCAAGATTATTGCTGCTCAGCGAAGTGACGAACTACGATACGAGTACTTGTACCGTATACGACGATATCGCCCCGACCAGCTGGTATTCGTCGACGAATCCGGCGTCAATAAGGATACTGGGATACGGAGGACTGGATGGGCGCCGAAAGGGCTTGCTGCGTTTCGAACTGCAGAGATTGATCGGTTTCAGAACTCTCGCGTACAGATCCTGCCAGCCCTCACGTTGAGCGGTATCCTACACTTGACTACGTATTATGGTACGACTGACGGCGATGGGTTCTTTCGTTGGCTACAGGAGTGCCTTATCCCGAAATGTGGGCGTTTTCCAGAGCCAAACTCTGTCATCGTTATGGATAACCTCTCCTGCCATCGTATACCTGAAATCGAGGGTTTATGCCGGGTATCAGGTGTCCATCTCGAGTTTCTGCCTCCGTATTCACCAGACTTCAACCCCATCGAAGAGTACTTCGGCGATCTAAAGCGATACATCAGGAAGACGTATTCGAAGTGGAACAACGATGAGAATGACACTCGGGATTTCATGGAATATCTACGTGACTGCGCTATGGAGATTGGGTATCGTCTACCCCAGATCGAGGGCCATTTCCGCCATTCGTTCGTCAACTTTGATGGGACAGAGCATATATTTGACGATATCGAACTATAAAAGGGAGGATTTGCTGCCAATATTGAACATCAGCAAGCAATCCAAATTTTCATCGTGCGTTCGCGCGCAATAGATCTTAATCGTGTCGTCATATGATGGTCAATCATCAAATCCATGATTGTAGCCAACAAGATTGCCAAAAGGTTAGCCACAAGCGCACCAGAACACAAAAAATATACCGTCGTCCATTGTTTTCGTCGGTAGCTACGTATACATATCAATTTTGCCTGTATAACGGCTGAAACGCGTTGTTGATGCTTGTGACGATGATTTGTGATGATGACACGTCATCACGATCAGAGACTTCAACCATAGTCAGAGACTTCAACTGCCCCTAACCAGTATCGGGATGGACCGAAGTGTATTGTTTGCAGATCCAAAATAACAGTAATTCTATTGCTTTTATACGTATAGAGCGGCAGTGTTGAATCTACGGCTATGGGTAGACTTTTCCGTGGTTGAACACGTCATGCAAAAAAATCGCGCATACAGTCAAACTTCACACCACTCTTGCTGTATCACTCTTCTTCGTTATCCTCCTCCGAGTAATACGTCTCTGTTGACGACGTATCACTCGAGATTTCAATCTGATTGTCCTCATCGCCTTGCTCGATTTCGTCTTGTTCGATCTGTAACTGCGTGGGCAGCATCTGCGACGCTGACAGCAGTGGTGACGAAACGAAACCAAAGAGTTCCGAAACGCCTACAAAGTTAGCCATATTCGACAGTAAACAGCTCTATATACACTCACCACGTCGACCAACTTCAACTGGCGTACCACGGATCTCTTGCTCGATGGATTGACGTGGCACTAGGGCGTCGATATGTCGGGATGACCCCAACTCGCCTGAAACTAGCGCCGCAGAGTTTTCAACTGGCGCCGCCGCCGTCCCTCCTGGCAATCCAGCGTATATTCTTGTATAAACATCTCCTTCTGACTCTCGATGGTTTGAATGAAGTTCAGAGTGAGATACCACGTCGGAGAGGGCGTCAGACTGCCCTCCGTAGTAGGCGCTGTTGTCTATGAAGGATTTGATCGAGTTCCTGACATCTTCGGTAAGATCTTGAGTAAAACCCTGTTCAGTAAACCAAATATCTGGTAACTTGCGAATTGCCCGCAAGCTACTGTC